GGCTTCTTCAATCTGCCTCATAAACCACTCTCTGGATGCGTCACTCCATCCAGTCATTGCTTCTTGCAGAAGCTCACGTCGTGCCTGCTGACATGTCGAGCGGATGGCTTCTGCGATAGCGTCGGGGGTGCATCCCTCCACAGCCTTGCAAGCCTGGGCTGTCCTGCTGTTCGGATAACGCTTCGCGAAGCTCTTCACCCTCTCGACGAGATCAGCTTCGAGGACAGAGGCATCCACAAGTCCGCGCTGCGTGTATTGGCATTGGCGCCCTGGCGGCTTCCCCTACACCACGCGTGCAGCCATGGTGCCTGAAATAACCGGCGCTGCCTGAAATAACCGGCGCTGCCTGAAATAACCGGCGCTGCCTGAAATAACCGGCGCTGCCTGAAATAACCGGCGCTGCCTGAAATAACCGGCGCTGCCTGAAATAACCGGCGCTCTAAACCCTAAACCCTAAAACCCTAAACCCTAAACCCTAAACCCTAACCCTAAACCCTAACCCTAACCCTAACTTTAACCCTATTAGACTCTTAGTCAAGAGTTTCATAGCTAAGAACTATTGCTCTTCGCTCATCTCTCGCCTAATGATCCGTCTAAGGGGTTCCCAACCTTGGGAGGTTGGCCCATTTTCCTATAGGCCCCTTAGGCCTGGGTGCTTCCGTATTAGTTGTTTTCAGTAACGATGTCCTCCGGGCCCGTTCCAATTCCGATCCCGGTCCCCTTCCTTATTTTCGCTAAGTTCCGTTGTACCTTCCTGCCCCTTCCCCCCCCAACATGCAGTCGCCCACTGTGGCAAGGCTGTACCTTCTCCTGCTGGCTAGCCCTTCTCTTCTTCCCTGACCATGCGCCATGGGTGGCTTGCCCATGAGCCGCGCCTGCCCCCATCGGACTACATCGACTCTCTTACCCTTCTTGCCGTCCATAGCGTATGTTGTACCGCCAGCAGTTGCTTGATTGCTGCTGTCTTGATGCCTTCCCATTCCGTGTCATCCACCCTTAGCCTCCTGAAATTCTCATGCCATTCCCTCTCCATGATCGATCCTTTCACTCCTGCTATGAATGTTGCTTGTTCCACTTCATGGTCAGGTAGCAAAGCTGTGATTTCTGCTCGTAGGGGGGCATATTTCTCTTCCTTTTCCTGAAATTTCTTCTTCAGGCATTCCAGACTTGTTTGTTCGACTCCGTCATATTCCGATGTCCTTGCAAATTCGATGAGGACAATGCGTTTGATGCTTGCAAAGTAGCAGCAACCGTCTGGTATCCATTGCCCTTCTCGGTGCATTGAAGTCCCCATCGCTTCCATCACGATGCGTATTGGAGTGTCCCACCATGAATTGACCTGTACCCTTTGTTTCCTCCAGCTCTGCTGCAGTCTTACCTTGATCTTCTTCCAACATGGTGAGTTAGTCTTCCCCCATTGAAAGAGCTTCTTCCTCGTCGGTGCTGAGAAGGTGATCGCTTGGATAGCTGTTCGCGTAACTGACCCTTCGCATTGTTTGGACGCTTTCCCTAGTAAATCTCTTCCCACATGCATTTCGAGCATGAATTTCTCTGTCAAGGTGAGGTCTCCCGCTCCTGATGTAGGATTTTCTTCTCCTGCAATGATGAATTCCATTGGGCTATCGTAGATTGCTTTCTCCCATCCCGAGGCAAATGCTTGTTTTCCTTGCTTGGCCATTTCTTTGGCCTCTTGAATGTGTCTCTGAGATTCTTTTGCTAGTTGGAGTCGGATCCTGATTCCCCTCCCTTCGAGTTTCTTCATGCAAGTGAGTAACCGATCATGTAAGTCCTCCAGCAGTTCGTCTTCGTATCGCATGTATCCATTCGCAACGTATTTGTCATAAAGCGGTGGAAACGTGTGGACTGGTACATTATTGTGACTTGATTTCCCCTTTTGATCTGTATTCCTTCCTCAAGGACATGTTGCAGAAGTAAGCCAATTGCGATTGTGTTCGCTCGGATGATGCTGCACTTCCCATTGATTTTCATCCCTCCTCCTGACGTCATCTCTTTTTGTTGGAGAACATATCCTATTCGCATGGATCTGTTTTTTCTGCCCTGCGTGATGTCTCCTTCAATAGCTGCTGTGAAATGCCTTCCGCCTTGATGATTGCTGCGCGGCTGGATCTGATCCCTTCGTCTGTTACACAGCTCCTCATACGTTGGGAGGATGTTGTCCTGGAGCTGGTCTCGTAAGTGTGTTGGGAGTGTGTGCCTAACTAGTATCCATAACTCCTCTACAGTTTTCGTCAAGCACCTATTCCCTGTTTGCAAGAAGTTTGCTGCATAAGCTATTTGAGCGCCTTTCGGGACCCGGCTGATAATTTCAAAACCTTCTGGTATCTCATCAATGTTATTCTTCCATCCTATCAGAATGACATGTATTGTATCCAGGATTTGTTCACGAAATCTCTTTTGTTTGTCCATCCAAACCACCACTCTGTGCAGTTCCCTTGCTCTCTTTTTGCCCAGAGCCTGGGGATGTGTGTGTATGGTAGGCCAGTTACAAAATGTACTGATGTCGCATTCTGTAATCTCTGCTAAATGTTGTAAAAACTCGTATGCCAATGGTTGTGTTGTTTCTTGGCGAACCTCTGATACTACCTCCTCGAGTTGTTGCCACCATGCTGTAGCTTCTGTTTCGCCGTCGTCCAATGCATTAACTATTTCCAGCAGCAGATGGATGCTTTGATTGCAGTCTCTTCGGTTATTACCGTCCTCTTCCCTTGTTGCAGATGCGAAGGGAGCCGAGTCCAGCGACGCTTCCAACCATTCTATTGGTGGATCCACGGTCTTGCTTTCTTCAATTTGAGATCGCTCAAAGATGGCTATGTTCCCTTGAACTTTGAAAGGTATGTTGCTTGAAGTGTGGCTGAATCTTTCTTGCTGATTCCCTCCTTCATCATAACAGGTGGGGTCATGTTGGAGCCACCGCCTCAAAATTACCCGGGTACAAGCCTTCGTATTCGTCTCCTCTCTCCCTTGGTCCGGTCTGGCTAGTTTCTTGTGTGGCTGAAGTTAATGTGGGCTAGCCTCCCTTTTTCCTTTCCTTGTCTTGTTTGGGGGCTTCCCCTCCTCCCTGGCTGGCCTTCTTCTCTTCCCTGTTCCTGCCTGCTCAAGTCCGAGTTTTGCCCAGATGACATTCGCTTGCAGATATTGTGCAAGGATTTCTTCTGCTTGTTCCCTTTGCTTTGGGAATGGCCAGAGTCGGATGGGCAGGTGCAGGGAGATGCCCTCGGTGTCTGGGACGGGTAAGACACTTGTCATGGAGTGGAAGCCTACTTGGGGCAGTAGTCTCCATGCCTTTGCAAAACTCTCCCAGCCTTGCCGAGCAGGAGATGTAGGTAGGGAGTTTTCTCCGGACAGCAGGGAGTTTTCTTCTGAGAGCATCTTGTCCTCCAGGTCGTGTAAGATGGCTATTGTCCCCGGTTTCATCTTGCTTTCAATCATTTCCCAACTGATGGTGGTCTGCATTTTTTCCGCTAACGAGAAATCAGATCGGGCAGACTCAAAGAGAACGTGTAGCTGGTTTATTGTTTGACACCCCCATTGGTTGCACCATGATGTTAGTTTGTGTATCAGACTGCTTTTGATATCATCATCCACCCTGCATTTCTTATTCGTTTCTTTCTCTAGATACCGAATCGCCGCCCTTCCCAAGATGGGTGCTGGATGGGGGAGTTGGAGGCCTCCTCTGTCCCAAGGTAGGTGAAAGATAGCGTTGCTTGTACTCTTGCTCAATCCCATAGCTCTTTTGAATGCTCTGGTCCAGAGGGTATCTAAGGTTTGTAAGTCTATAAGGAACCTGCCAGGAAATAAGGAACCTGCCAGGAAATAAGGAACCTGCCAGGAAATAAGGAACCTGCCAGGAAATAAGGAACCTGCCAGGAAATAAGGAACCTGCCAGGAAATAAGGAACCTGCCAGGAAATAAGGAACCTGCCAGGAAATAAGGAACCTGCCAGGAAATAAGGAACCTGCCAGGAAATAAGGAACCTGCCAGGAAATAAGGAACCTGCCAGGAAATAAGGAACCTGCCAGGAAATAAGGAACCTGCCAGGAAATAAGGAACCTGCCAGGAAATAAGGAACCTGCCAGGAAATAAGGAACCTGCCAGGAAATAAGGAACCTGCCAGGAAATAAGGAACCTGCCAGGAAATAAGGAACCTGCCAGGAAATAAGGAACCTGCCAGGAAATAAGGAACCTGCCAGGAAATAAGGAACCTGCCAGGAAATAAGGAACCTGCCAGGAAATAAGGAACCTGCCAGGAAATAAGGAACCTGCCAGGAAATAAGGAACCTGCCAGGAAATAAGGAACCTGCCAGGAAATAAGGAACCTGCCAGGAAATAAGGAACCTGCCAGGAAATAAGGAACCTGCCAGGAAATAAGGAACCTGCCAGGAAATAAGGAACCTGCCAGGAAATAAGGAACCTGCCAGGAAATAAGGAACCTCTATACCCTAAACCCTATGATTATTATTATTATTATGTGAGTTTATTAGAATGCTAGAATGTTGTTCAAGCTGCTTATCAGCCCTCACACTTCTCCTCTGTTCAGCTTCCTCAGCCTCAGTCAGGAGAGTTGCCTCTCCTCACCTTGGCCTTCGGTCGCCTCCTACCTTCTCTCCTTACCTTGAGCTCAGCTCAAGCTCGGTACGGGCTCGCCCCGTCTTCTTCCTCGCCCTCGCCTTGCTCTTCTTCCATGACATGTCTTCCTCTTCTTCATCATCTTCCCTCATCTCCACCCGCAGTCGCCGGTCCTTCTTGCAAGTTGTCCACCTTCAGCGAGCAGGCCAGCACATGCATCTCTGCGAATTTACTCAGTGCTATGAACAGGAAGCTAAGAGATCGACGCTCTATGTCGTCGCTCTCCGCCTCCAGGCTGCTCAAGCTCAGCAGCTGCCGTTGCCCGTGGCGAGAACGCGCTGCCCCTCCTTGCCTTCTTGCTCTCTCCTTGCACGCGAGTCCAGCGCTTGCTCTGCAGCCACTCCCCCAGCTTCTCAGGGCTTGAGAACGTTGCGTCCCACTCCCTGCTCCTCTGGCGTCTTCGCCCACTCTCCCAGCGACATGAACTCCAGGCTCCCCGGAGAGTAGAAGGTGTCGTGGAGGTTGCCAACAGCCTTGTCCAGGACCAGCTTGATCGGCTCGCTCGTCCCCGTCTCATCTTCGATGACTGCTGACAGCTCGCTGACGAGCTGCATGTCCTCTTGGCTTGAAGGAGATGCTGCCTCCATTGTGATCCTCTCCAGGTCTGTAAACTCCAGCCACTCTCCCTCGCTCTCCTCCTGTCGCTGCGCTGCGTCGCTGGTGCCCCGCTGACCAGCTGCCTCAGGCTCCATGTCGAAGCCGCCGGGTCCGTGACTGCTTCGAGCTTGGTTGCTGCGCCTTCGAGATAGAAGGGCAGCTCCTTCATCATGCGTCGAGCATCCTCCGTGGAGCCGAGGAGTATGCATAGCTTGGACCCGTTCCAGGACTTGGTGTTCAAATCCTCCTCCATGTCGATGCCTTCAACTTTGATCTCGAGCCTGTTAGCGATCTCCAACAAGACTCTCTTGACTCTTGCGATGGACGTGTTGCCGCCGTTGCACAGCCCCTCCATCTCCTTCCTCGTGAAGCGAGACTTGATGATGATCTTGATCTCCTTGCCGTCCTTGCCGCCTGCCTTCTTCTGCATCCTTGATGCCTTCTTCAACTTGTTTCTGGACACAAAGCGATCAGCTGTCAGCTCAGCTCGACTGCGAGCGCCTCTCTGATCTTCGGGTCCTCGCCGCGGCTGAACAGAGTCAGGTGTACTCCCTCCATCGCTTCGCTCTCTCGGAAAGCTCGAAATGCCGAGGCTGTATCATTCGCCTCTGGGCAGCTCGAGGAGACGATCCACTCCACCTCCCTCTGTCTCCAGATGACGCCTGCCAGCGGCCGCTGGAGTTGGACCGCTGCAAGGGACTGGCCCAGCAGCTGATAGCGGTAGACGTCAGCAATCTCTGCTGTTGTCATGCTGCACGATGCTCACATGTACAGCTGTGAACTTGCGACCATCGATCGCGAAGTCCTCTCTTCCCTGCCAGAGCTTCTCCGCTTGTGCATTGCGGAGGAAGTCGGAAACAGTCACCGGGATCTCATCAGCACTCGCTATCTCGGGTCTATACGGAGCCTTCCACATGATTGCTTTACTCTCTTGCACTGAGTCTACGATCAGTCCGATCTCTTCGAATTTCTTCTTCAGCTTCTCTTCATGGTTGACATACACCGAGGAGATGCCCAGGAGAGTCATGGAGATGAAGGAAGTCACCTCGTTGGATGCGTCACTCCATCCAGTCATTGCTTCTTGCAGAAGCTCACGTCGTGCCTGCTGACATGTCGAGCGGATGGCTTCTGCGATAGCGTCGGGGGTGCATCCCTCCACAGCCTTGCAAGCCTGGGCTGTCCTGCTGTTCGGATAACGCTTCGCGAAGCTCTTCACCCTCTCGACGAGATCAGCTTCGAGGACAGAGGCATCCACAAGTCCGCTCTGCGTGTATTGGCATGATCTCCGATACAGCAGGTTGCGAACTTCGAACATTTTCATCATACTGAAGAACCATACTTAGAAAGCTGATAAACTATACAAACCTCTCGCTTGCAGCTTCCTTGGCGCCCTGGCGGCTTCCCCTACACCACGCGTGCAGCCATGGTGCCTGAAATAACCGGCGCCTCCTAAACCCTAAACCCTTATCCGAGTTCTTACAGGAGTCCGGGCCCTTCGCGGCCGCCCTCCCCTCGGGCCGATTTTTTTTGCCGAACCAGTATGATAAATTTCCACTCAGTGACCAATACCCCCCACCCCCTACTCTTAATCTTGAAGAGGTGGGGTACTCGATGCAACCGCTCGATGGGAGGCTGCAGCAAGGGGAGGGGAACGCTTCCAACGCTTCCCGTGGGCCGTTTGGGATGCTTCTTGCATGCTCTGACCCCCATTCGGATGTCTTGAAATGGGATTTCGGGGTCAGATGTGACATTTCTGCACGCTAGCCCTGTTTTACTAGGTAGTCGCTGATTTTCTGATGAACGCATGCGCACCCAATTTCTGATCTCGCGATGCAGGCTCATACGTCACCAGGACGCAAGACCAGCAGAAGCTCGTGGTTTTTTGTGAATCTCATGCGAGTTTTGGATGATTCTTTGCCCATGATATGTGAGAGGCTGCGCTGCAGGTTCATATGAATTCATAGGAATTCAAGCCTAGACGGGAGACTGACGGGAGCCAGCCTGGCAAGCAGGAGAGGACGAGAGACTGACAGGAGCCTGGATGGGAGCCAGTCACTAGTAGGAGGCGAGCGGAGATTCTGTGGAGGACAGAGGCGGGAAGCGGCTCATAGGTTATCTGCATGCTTGTATTGATTCTAAAATTGCTGCTTCAAGGGGAGATGATGCACGGCCCCCAAGCCTTAATCACTGTGCATCACCTTGCAGCATAGGCATAGGCAGGTCAACCTAGCTGACTACAACACTACTGACTCCCTGCCGTCGCTTGTCTCAGCTTGCCACCACAGCGTCATGGAATAAGGCTACCTAACTGCCAGCACACTGCTCCCTACAGTAGCCTGCCACCACTGCAGTGTCAGGTCCTTGAAGCCCACCCACCGGATGTGCTGCGAGAGCCAGCCGGTCCTCTTCCTGCTGTTCATCGTCACCGTCACATCCTGTGGCTCGTCGGAAGCTGCAGGCCATCTACCCTGGCGCACAAGGTGCCGCTCTAGAGCTATGTCATAGTCCTCCCCGCTGATGTAACCGAGGGAGCACTTGTCGTCTAGAGCGTCAAGGGACGTCCAGTCGTCAGGGTTGTCCTTTCTTCCCACGATGAACAGATGACGGAAGGACCTGCGGATGGACTTGATGCCGAAGGTCCTGTCACCACTCCTGCACGAGGACGACTTCACCTCCAGCGGCTCTCGGCACAGCGGCAGAGGTTCACCCCGACTCGACCCGCTGACCTGTCTCTGGGGCCCAACTATGATACACCCGTCGCTCTTGCCATGCAGCCCACCTGCCTGTGCAACGTCGATCAGAAGCTGATCGGCAGGGATGCCGATGCTCAAGGCCTTCAGTGCCAAGGGAAGTTTCCCGGCAAAGTCTAGCGAGTCCCGCCTCCTCTGCGACACTTCAATCCGCATCTTCTCCTTCAAGCCCTGGACGTAGCTTGCGTTCCCCACAAGGCGAAGCAGATTCGAAGACATCAAGGCTCGCAAGATTAACTCGTCAACCTGACCTTCTCCATCTCGACACCGCGGCTCATGATCTGTGTCCAGGCACTGCAAAGCCCCTGCAGCGCCGTACTGTGAGCTGCCAACAACGTGCACATCCGATGTCATGACATCATCGGCCACTGAATCTGCACCCTCTCCCGCCGCCGGACAAGGCAGGCGAGGCTCCGAAACATCAGGCCGCTTGGCTACAACAGGCGAGTGTAGCATGGATGTCTCCGCTGCCCCCGTCATCTCCGATGTCTCCGCTGCCCCCGTCATCTCCGATTTCTCCGCTGCCCCCGTCATCTCCGATGTCTCCGCTGCCCCCGTCATCTCCGATGTCTCCGCTGCCCCCGTCATCTCCGATGTCTCCGCTGCCCCCGTCATCTCCGATGTCTCCGCTGCCCCCGTCATCTCCGATGTCTCCGCTGCCCCCGTCATCTCCGATGTCTCCGCTGCCCCCGTCATCTCCGATGTCTCCGCTGCCCCCGTCAAATCCGATGTCTCCGCTGCCCCCGTCATCTCCGATGTCTCCGCTGTCTCCGCTGATGGACAGCAAGGCGGCTGGCAACATCCGCATGATGGACTCGCTTCATCCTTGCAGGTGCGCAGGGGCACGGTATGACCGCAACCCAAACCATCCCAGGGAGCAGGAATGTGTGTGTAGGAAGAAAGTGACCAAGGCATGAGGAAGGAGAGGACGAAGAGCCGGGGAAGGAGGAAGGAGAGGCATGGCAATGGAAGGAGGAGCCGGGGCAAGAGCAAGAGGAAGAAGGAGCATGGCGATGGAAGGAGGACAGGTGTGGGGGGGAGCAGCCGGGACAAGAGGGGGGGGGGCAGCCGGGACAAGAGGGGGGGGGCCAGCCGGGACAAGAGGGGGGGAAGCAGCCGGGACAAGAGGAAGGAGGGGGGGGATGGGAGGAAGTTGAAGAGCAGGTTGGGAGACCCAAGGAGCAGGAACAAGACACAACAGGCGCTGATATCGCGTGATTCAAAAGCATTTTCGCTTTCCAGAGCCTTCGAGTTGGCTGGGGCAAGTTAAAATAAACTTCAAATTAAAGTGAGGTTCAATATCTTCTTCAATATACACACCAATCTTTGAAAGATTGATCAATATAATTCAATATCTCCCTTAAGATTGAAAAATTGTCCACCCTACCCGTACGAAAAAAAACCTTCCGTCGAGGTTGAGGTGAAGGGGGGGACAAGGAGCTGGTGGGTTACTACTAATTTTAGTGGGGTCGCTTGGGAAAACATGCCGGAACTGCGTTCCTTTCATCCTTGATTTCAAAATCTTCTTCAATATACACACGAATTTTGAAAGATTGATAAATATATTCAATACTTTCCTTAATTGAAAGGTTGTGCACCCTACCCGTGCGAAAAAAACCTTTGTCGAGCCAGTCGAGATGTCAACATTTAAATGGGGGTGGGTGGTGGAGGTAAAGGTGGAGCCCTGGCAAAAAAACCTTTGTCCTTGCTCACCCTACCCGAGCACCTGTGCAACGTTTGGTTGTACCACCTCAAACACCTTCGCTCTCTCACCCTCGTTGAATGCTACTAGTGTCTCACTTATAAAATCGAATCGTTCTCACCGGCATGATTCGAGTCCCCTGCCTCCCTCCTTCATTCGACTACCCCTACCCGCTATTTGCCTACATCCCCAAATCTCCACCTACCCCACCCTCTGTTCTCAACCTCCGCAATGCCGTACAACTGCGACAAATGCCAGGCAAGGAGCAGCAGCGATGAGATGCTGTTACCTTGAGTGACATGCTTGATGATGAAGATGTTTCCTTTGCTCCCCCGCATCTGATCCTTCCATCATTCAACTCCTTTCTTGGCGGCTCCTTCACTTCCTCCTAACACTTTTTTTTGACCTTCTGACTTGTGTGTCTCCAGATCGTGGTCGATCCTAATACCAACGACAGCACAAAATGCGTAATTTGAATAGCTTCCAGTAGGCGTCACCTGACTTTGAGTGTTTTACGTTCTGCCGTGAATTGCCATGTTGTTATTCGGAAGGCGGTAAGCATGTCTGTGCAGCATATGCTCAAGGAGCGATTGGGCTGACATTTCATTTTGCAAATTTCCTTCGCCTTCTGCTCGGATGGATGAAACTTGGGCCTGATAGCGAGTAAGTAGCATATGCTATGATGGGCGGGATCGATTGGATTGATATTCTACAACAGTCTACTTTTCAAGCTGGAGCCGATGGAAAGTGCAAGACCTGCTCGAAGCTTGAAGAAGATCATTATGGATCCTCCAAGTACTGCTACGTAAGGAACCGTTCGCTCAGGGAATGATTGGACTGACGTTTGTTTTGCAAATTCCTGGTTTTTCCTTGCTTGGATGGATTAAACTCGTCTTCATAGGAAGTAAGTGTCATATCATATGATGCGGTCAGGGGATGATTTGACTGACATGTTTTTGAAAATTCCTGGTTTTTCCTTGCTCGCATGGGTTAAATTCGTCTTCATAGGGAGTAAGTATCATATCATATGATGCGGTCAGGGGATTATTGTCTGACATTTATTTTTGCGATTTCCTTTGTTTTTGCTCGAATGGATTGATCATGGGTCTCAACAGTTAGTAAGTGATGATAATGAAATACGCGGTCATGGGACGATTGGCTGACATGTATTTTGCAAATTTCCTTCGCCTTTTGCTTGGATGGATGAAACTTGGGCTTCATAGCGAGTAAGTAGCATAACTGCTATGATGCGGTCAGGGAATGTTTCGCTGACATTGGTTTTGCTTCTTGTCTGTGTTTGGTGTCGGATGGATGGGTTGCTGGATCGGATAGGGAGTAAGTATCTTGATCAAAATATGCGGTCAGGGATCGATTGGCTGACATTTTTCGTTTGTTTCTCGGTTTTTCATCGGATGGGTTGTTGATTTGTCCGGACAGTCGGTAAGTGATGATTATGAAATCATGCGGTCAAGGGGACGAGTGGACTGACATTTATTTTGTGTATGTGTCGGTATATGCTCGAATGTACTGTGGATGGGGCGGTATAGCGGGTAAGTGACGATGATGAAAGATGCGGTCAGGGAACGATTGGCTGACATGTACTTCGCAAATTTCCTTCGCCTTCTGCTCGGATGGATGAAACTTGGGCCTGATAGCGAGTAAGTAGCATATGCTATGATGCGCTCAGGGGACGATAGACTGACATGTATTTTGCAAATTCCTGGTTTTTCCTTGCTTGCATGGATTAAATTCGCCTTCGTAGATCGTAAGTGTCATGTCATATGATGTGCTCAGGGAACGATTGGCTGACATTTCATTTTGCAAATTCTTTTGCTTTTGCTCGGTTGGATGGAACTTGGGCCTAATAGTACGTAAGTTGCATCTGCTATAATGCGGTCAGAGAATGATTGGCTGACATGTATTTTGCCGTTCGGGTCTTTGCTGGCATGCTCTGGATTGCGGCTGTTTTTTTTCTAGTGCTGCGTTTGCTACTACGACGATGAATCTGAAGATCAAAGGCAAGAACGCATGTGCCAGCACTGCAAGGATCGACGTTCCTGCGTGCACAACCTTGAGCAAGATCTTGTATCGTCAAGACCCAGTAGGCAGGACGCCATCGCCAAGATCGAGAAGGTCCGCGAGCACGTCAACAACGTGGGGAAGCCATTTGCCCAGAGACTGGACCTAGTCAAGTGCCACTATATCTTCGGGATGCAAGAGATAGATACCTCTGCTGTCGAAGACGTGAAGCAGCTCCTGTCGGGCGGGGAGCTTGGGAGCTGCTACAACAGCGAGGAAGGCACGCTCAACATGTCTTTGCGGACAGATAGGATGAAACGATATGTGATACGAGACCTGAGGATGAAGAGCCTGCCTCGCTGGATCTCCAAGCTCGGCGTCGCTTTTAAAGTCATCGACGTGTCCGGTAACCCCAGCCTCTCCCGCCTTCCCTTGGACGAGCTCTGCAGCATGGAGTCTAGCCTGCAGGAGGTCAGGTGTGAGAGCTGCGTCAGCCTGCAGCTGCCTCCCCCTGAGATCGCCAGTCAGGGAGGGGCAGCTGCTTTCACGTACCTGCAGAGTGTCAAGAGAGACAGCGAGGCGAACAAGCGGATCAACCTCATCCTCATAGGCAACGGAGAGGCAGGCAAGACGAGCGTGCTGAGAGCTCTGAGGTCAGACAAGGACAAGGCGGACAAGATCGAGGTAGACAGGAGGACGATCGGGATAGACCTGCACGAGTGGAAGCCTGATTACGCTGACGGGCTGACGTTTGACGTGATAGACTTCGGGGGGCAGCAGATCTACGCCAAGACGAACCAGTACTTCATCGTGAGGCGGGCCTTGTACCTGCTGGTTTGGAGCGTGAGGGTGAAGCGAGACAAAGAGAGCAAAGAGGATGGAGGGGGAGGCATGGAGGAGCTGAAGAAGATGATCTCGACATGGCTGCGAGCTACGCAAGCGCGAGTGCCGGGAGCGAGTGTGTTGCTCGTAGTAACGCACATCGATCTTGCCGGGGAGAGCGAGGTGACGGATCAGTGTGAGAAGGTGAAGGCATGTGTGGAAGAGGAGCTGAAGAAGATGGCAGAGGAGGAAGACGAGAACATCCTGCCGTTGCACGTTATCAATGGAGGCGAGAGCTTCCGGGTGAACTGTCTTGAGGGACAGGGAGTGAAGGAGCTGCGGCAATCTGTGTGCAAGACTGCAAAAGAGCTGCTGTGGTGGCAGGAAAAAATCCCTGGACCTTATCTGAGACTGAGAGAGGCTGTGGAGAAGCGTAAGTCAGAACCTGTCTCGTACGTCAAGGTAGAGGAGTACAAGGAGATGTTGAGAGAGTCAGGGGTCAACGAAAAGGAGCAAAAGGTGGCAACGAGCTTCTTGCACGACATGGGCGTGCTCAAGTACTTCGGTCATGAGCTGAGTGCGGATGAAAGCAAGAGAGACCAAGGCAAGTACTCCGTCGAGGACACGGTCTTTATCGATCCCGTGTGGATGATCGACGTGTTCAAGGGCGTGATGCGACATGACTGGGAGCACCTACTCGACTGCTTCCAGCAGGACCCAACCAAGTCCAAGAAGACGAAGAAGCTGCTACACCTGGGTATCATAGACGAGGACATGTTGGAGTACCTGTGGCCCCAGCGAGACAGCGACTTCTGGCGCAATGCGAAGACAGACAAGACATCAAGATCGGAAGAGGTAGGCTTCATCAAGCGCCATGTGGAGGTGCAGGAGGCGGTGGCTCTGCTTCGGGGCTGCGATCTGGCGCACTTCCTGGGCGTGGGGATGAAGGACTTGAAGGATACAGACAACAAGAGCAGAGAGCTGCTGTGTCCCGGCATCATCCCGTCGTTCACGCATGAGCACAAGCGGGCAGTGACGGACAAGGACAAGCAGTCGCTGTGCGCATCTGTGGAGCGCGAGTACAACATCTTCCCCGCGGGCTTCATCGACAGGCTGGTCGTGCTGTGCGCTGCTCGACACTTTGAGGTAGACTGCAGCGGCTCTATGGCGGTGATGAAGGGCTGGGGCCGGACGCTGCTGGTGAGCTGGCGGGAAGACAATGACAAGCACGTGCTGAGGGCTGACGCGTCGACGAGGCAGCAGATCGAGAACTTGCAAGAGGACTTGAGGCGACTCGAGGCGTTCTTCCCGGGGATGAAGCGAAGGAGAAGCAACGAGGAGAGCTCAGGCAAGGAGGCCGTGCAGGTTGGGATCTTCACGCAAGGAGAGAGGTCAAGAGCATGTGGGCTGGATATTGAAAGAAAGGTGAAGGAGCTTTACGAGGCGGAGAACCTCCCTCTAGGTCTTACTTGTCAGATTCATCCATGTGACGAACGTGGAGATGCTGGTGATGAATGTCTCGTGAACATCTTGTGTATATCGACAGAGTGTGTTGATGAGCAGGGAGCCATGCAAGGAGAAAGTAGCTTCAGCAAGCCATGGAACAGATTGACAGCTAGCAAAGCAATTATCATCCCCGTCGTATTGACAGACTACTACGACAAGCACATCAAGCCGAGGAACAGGTTCAACGAGTGGTGGCCGCGGGAGATACAAGGGATGGAGCGATACAGGATCTTCCATCAGTACAAGAAGAAAGATGAAGTATCGAAAGACAAAGTATCCGAATATGAAAAATCTATGCGAACGTTGTACGACGGCATCATCAAGAAGCTTCATCAGGGACGGGGAAGTTTCGAAGACTTGTACGATGTCACCAGTCAGAACGAGCTTCTGTGCCAAGCTTGCTTGCATGATAGGTCTGAGTCTCAACCTGCCTCACAAGGCGTTAGAGCCGTGGGCAGGTTCGATCCGTCGGAGATCAAGGAAGCACTGGACAAAGAAACCAATGGTATGACAGACATGCAGCAAGAGCTGGAGCAAGAAGATGTCATCAAACAAAAGATCATGATCAAAGCAATCACTTGCACAAGGGGTCATACGACAACCGTGAAGGAGGTGCTGGCTTTCAATGACTCGAGCTCCCCGTGTCCGTCGTGCTTGAAGGACAAGAGAGTCCCGCACTTCTTCAGCCGACCCACGTGCTTGAGCATGCTCGCTCGCGATCTAACGGCTAAGATTTACTGCAATCAATGTCAGAGGGAGATGGACGTGCTGGACGTCACGCCGCCTCAGGTGTTCTTGAGCTACAATTGGGGGCACGACAACTCGACGCAGAAGATGGTGAGGGAGGTGAAGCGGCGGATCGAAGAGCAGACGAGCCTGCAGTGCTGGTTCGACGTGGAGGGAGGGATCGACCACGGGGAAGATCACATGCAGAAGATGGAGCAGGGAGTGTCTCGCTGCGAGGTGTTTGTGGTCTTCATGAGCGACAAGTACGTTAAGAGCGGCAACTGCAGGAGGGAGTTTGCTCGGGCGTGTAAGGCAGGGAAGTACATCATCCCTGTCTTGGTGCCGGTGCTGTATGAAGCAAGTCCAGACTCAAAGGACTTGGAGTCAGAGTCAGGCTGGAAGGGCGACAAGGAGGGTGAAGACTGGTGGAAGAGAATTGCGGAGCTAGAGGAGACAAGTGAAGCTGCCAAAGAGGTCAAGGTCGACTGGGAGTTTCTCGCGTCATTCTCGAAGCCCTTGAAGATTGAAGCGAAGAGGGAGCAGCAAGAGCAACAGCAGAAAGAGAAGGACCATGGTGGTTTGCATGTGTCAGGGCTGGAGGCGCTGGTGGCAGCAGTGCAAGCGAGGGTTTACCGGGGAGGCGTCGTATTTCACGAGGTTGCTTGTTTCCTTGTGGTTGACATGGCCTTGACATGCGTGGGCCAGGTGGAGCACCCGTTTCTCAGGTCGTTACATCGTCAAAAGCGCCTGCTCGACAGCATTCTTGATCGTATCAGCCGGCTGCAGTCAAAGATACTGTTAGGGATTGACAACCCTGATGATCTACCTTGACTCTGTGAACTTGAACCAACTTGCCATCTTCCGTTAAGCAAGCAAACAGAAACCTCAACACTACCGCGGTCGCTGAAAGTTTAGAAAATTAGAAAAGATTTATGATCAAACCGACAGGATCAATGAGACTGAAGTATACGTGACCGCGTAAGGAATTAGAATGAGTCGAATTAAACTCACGCATCAATTGACGAAGAAATGGCGTCTTCAATTCACGGAAAGACAACCAAGAATTAGAAGCAGTACTATCATATCATAACCTTTCCATCTGATCAAGTATTGCACACGACGACCTTTCCCGTGACGTGCTTAGATACGATCCACTTCGTAAAGGTCCCAGGAATGTCCTGCATGGTTCCACAAAGTGAAGTGCTTGAAGAATAGTAGCAGTCGTAGCGATTATTCTGGCAATATGACAGTTGCAAGTAGTCGAAGCCTTAGGTTGACAATGTCGGCTCTATCCGGCTGGATGTAGTAGTAAACATCCCCAGGAATCACGATTGCTCCAGACAGTGACGTGTAAGTTTGACAACAATGGACATCTCTCAACTCGTTGTGCTTCGCAAGGTCTTGACCCTTAGAATCAAATCTTTGAGCCTTCTCCTGACCCACATCTTCCTTGCTCTTGTCAACTTTCTCCATGCCCTCAGGATCACTTCTGCTCTCCATCATCATCATCAACAACAACATCATCATCATGCTTCCTCTTTCCTCGCAGCCTTTACCGCACAGATTGCTGATGCTCTGCCGCCTTCTGCTTGACAGCTCTCCGAGCGCTCGTCTGCTCGCATGGCTCCCCGGCCAGCTGGATCTGCTTCAAGTTGTTGGGGGAGTACAGGGGCTCGAAGGAGTAGGTAAAGGGATCGGGGAAGGTGCTGCAGAATTTGACCTGCCAGCCGGTCATCGCACCGAGAGCGTTGCGACATTAGCCTGATCTTGTTCAGCAGCTCTTCTGCTCCAGTGATGGAGTCTTGCACCTTGATGGTTCCGTTGAGCCCGTACTTGGAGACGAAGGAACACCCGTCACTATCATCTCATCATGACCGCGGCACTCGCAGCCATGAGGCACATCGTATCACAGTTGCCATTGCAACAGACAGGATCGCTGAAAATGATGTGAGAGTAGAGCGGTAGGGTCACCAAGAGTAGAGAGGATCCCTCAGCTTGATTCCCTGAGTTTGTGTAGCCTCCTGACCCCAGTGGGGAGAGCCTTGCCGAGCAGGAGGTTGATAACGGAGATCTCGATCTTGAAGGAGACAAAGATCTATCTTGAAGCAGATGGTGACTAAGAGTCGCATGTACGCGTCTGACCTGCCCATCTTCTCTCGCACCTTCTCAAGCATCCCCTCGATCTGGATCTCTCCGAAGGTCTTCTGCCCTTGATCACGCTGTCCACCTGGTCCATGTCCTCGAAGAGGCTCGTGACGGCCTCGTTCAGCAGGCTGTTCACTTGACAGAAAGGATTCCCTACTGTCCTCTTGAAAAGAAGAGAATTTCAAGACAGAGAGGACCAACCCTATCTTACCGACTGCTGTCCCAGAAATTAACTGATATCTTTACTTACACAGGAACCGGTATAATTTTCCGTTACACATGTTTCGATGTAAGTTACAAGCCTGTTTTTTGTAGGTGCAAACCAAGGGGCGGATTACTCCATGGCGTAACTTTGATTGGACGACAACAAGACAACAAGACAACAAGACAACAAGACAACAAGACAACAAGACAACACGACAACAAGAACAGAGAAAAGAGGATAGTAGTACAATTCGACCCAAAACGGAGAACGAAACAGAAAGGCAATATCATTGCAAAAACCTTTCTTGGTTGCGATTCACAAGAAGGAATTTTTGAAACAGGAAGAAGAAAATGGGTGCATGTATATCATCACGATCAACGTGGACTGCCGTCCCTCCTTCCCCTCGTCCTCTCTCGCCCACCTCGCTCCCTCCACATTGCTCCTCCTCGGCTGCTAACGTCGCTGATTTTCGCGCTATCTCACTGCCTCCCGCTACCAGCGAGCACGATAAGGCAGGCATGTATCCTCTGTCTTGGCCCTCTCCTCTCCCTTTGGCTTGCCATGCCATGCCTTACCTTCTCCTTCTACTCCTAGTATCCTTTCTTATCCTCCCCCTCATCCTTCTACTCCTAGTATCCTTCCTTATCCTCCCCCTCATCCTTATCCTTCCCTTCATCGCTCTCCCTTCGCTCTTTCCTCCTCGCGCTCAGGCTGTCAACGTCTGATTCTTTCCTTGCAGCGCCGCTCCCTTACCCCATGCTCGGCCTTCGGCTAGAAGCCTTCCATGACTTCATCTTGCGCTGCGGAGGAGAGAGCGCGTTGCTGGGGTTGAGCACGGCAGAAGTGTGTGAGCGACATTTGAAGAAGATGACCGGCAAGGGAGGAGCAGGAGCAGGAGCAGGAGCAGGAGCAGGAGCAGGAGCAGGAGCAGGAGCAGGAGCAGGAGCAGGAGGGGTTTCATTCTGTGAGCTGCTTGAGCAAGAAGGGAGCAGCGGAGTGGGACGAGCGCAAGTTATTATCTCGCACGCATGGAAGGAGAACTTCCTGCATGTGGTGCAGAGTCTTGAAGAGCACTTTCGCTCCTCTTCCTCCTCTCCCTTCCTCTGGTTTGATCTCTTCAGCATCAACCAGCATCAGTCTCCCAAGTCTCCGCTGCAAGGCTGGAGCTCCAATTTTGCGGAGACGAAGAGGACCGTGCTCGTGCTCACTCCCTGGGACCATCCCCTTCCCCTCGCGCGCAGCTGGTGTCTCTTCGAGCTGTTCCTCACAGCAAGGACAGGAAGCAAGCTCGAGGTGGCGATGAGCGAAGAGGATGAGAAGAGGCTGTGGGAGGAGCTGCCACTTGAGTCGTACACGAAGATGATCGGAGAGATCGACGTGGAGAGGAGCGAGACGTCGGAGGAGGAGGACAAGGAACTTATCCTCGCCATGGTCAGGAAGGAGGTCGACGGCATCGCAGGGATGAATCAGCTGGTGCAGGAGCGAATGAGGGACTGGCTCGTTCGAACTGCCGAGGAAAAACTCCTGCGGGTAGAGGATGGAGACCAGGTGGAGCGAAGGATGAAGCTCGCAGACCTGTACAAGATGCAGGGAAGGCTGGAGGATGCAGAGCAGCTGTACAAGGAGAGCTACATGAAGAGGAAGGAGGAGACTGGGGAAGAAGACGAGCTGAGCAGGGAGTTGGCCCGCAAGCTTGCGATCCTGCTGGTCCTCGAAGGGAAGTACGAGGAGGCTGAACCCCTTCTGCAGACGTGCAAGATCTTTCTTGAGGGGGTGGGCAGGGAGGAGCTCACGCTGGAAAGTTTGATCGGGCTTGCAGACTTCTACTTCAGCAGAGGAAGCTTCGAGGAAGCAGAGCCGGTCCTCAAGAGGTGCATTGACAAGGGCGAGGAGGAGCAGAAAGTGAGGGAGAAGGAGGATGGAGCCCTTGCTCTGAGCCACCAGCTGAACCTCGCAAGCCTCCACGTCGTCCAAGGAAGAGAAGATGACGCTGAAAGCGTCTACCAGGGATGCGTGGAGGCGAGCAGGGCAACTCTCGGTGAGCAGCACTCGATCACGAGGAGGAGCCTGAGGTCTCTTGCCGCCCTGTACGCAAAGCAAGGAAGGTTCGAGGTGGCAGAGGGGCTGGTGCAGGACAGCATGAAGAAGCTTCGAGACGCTGGCGGTGACGACCACCCGGACATGCTGATGAGTATGCGGAGCCTCGCAGCTCTCTACCAGAGCCAGGAGAGGTACGAGGAGGCGGAGCCGCTGCTGCTGGAGAGCTTGAGGAGGGTGCGGGCGGCGGAGGGGGAGGACCATCCGCACACGGTAGAGGACATGATCGCACTCGCCAAGCTGTATGTGAGGCAGAGGAGGATGGAGGAGGCAGAGCCTCTGCTGTTGGAAAGCATGAAGAGACTGCGAGAGGCAGCGCTAGGAGGAGGAGGATCGCTGCTCCTTGTGTGCATGGACAGCCTCGCTGGTGTGTATGTGGAACAGGAGAAGCTGGAAGAAGCTGAACCTCTCCTGCTGGAGAGCATCGCCAAGTGCCGGGAGCTGCTGGGCGATCACCATCCCAACACGCTGAGCAAGATGACTCAGCTTGCAGTGCTCTACTACAAGAAAGGAAAGCGAGGAGAGGCAGAGGCAGGCAAGCCTCGGATGTGGATCCGTTAGATGCAGAGGAGCCTGTAGGGATGCTGGGAACCAGGAGGAGGACACAACTGACATGAAGGACTACCAAGTGTGAAGATGCAAGTTTAAGACAACTTGACTTAATTTTGTTTTTGTCATGTTATGAACATGTTTTGAATTCAAACAATCTCATCCCCTTCCTTTTACTTGTACAGCAATCCAGGACAGAGGAGGTAACTGTGAGAATACAGCAGAAACGAGATGGCAGAGACCTGAGAAGGGATGGGTGGGTGGGAGCTGAGGAGGAGGAGGAAGAGAAGGAGGAGGAAGAGGAGGAGGAGGAGAGTGGCCGGCAAGCGCGGAAGCTTCAGGAGCCCTGGAGGTTGTCGTCGAGGGAGCGGCAAGAGAGCATGTAGCTTGTCTGCATCGGCGCGTCAAGGTTCCTCGTTTTCTCCACGACGTCCCTGGTGAATTCGAAGCGATGCTCCCGCACCGCCTGCTCGAACCTCGACGATGACGGCGAGTCCGTGCATGTCCACCCGTACTCCTTCTCGAGCGTCCATGCTGTCTGGTTGAACGACTCGAGCTGTGCTGTGCTCTTCCTCCGTCCCCTCGACCTCTTCACCTCCACCTTCACGTCCTTGTGCCGCTCCACCTCCCGAGCTCGCACGGGAGACACGCTCCTGCAGCGGTTTCTGGCTCTCTCCGACAGCGGCGACCTCCCGCGGTCGTCGTGATGGTGGGAGGAGGAGGAGGAGAGGAGGAAGCCGAGGCCGTGCATGAACTTGTCACTGACGTGAACGTTGTTGATCAGGGCCGTCTGCTCCAGCAGGTCGACCTCCCTCATCGCCTGCCCCACCACGTAGAACCGCGAGTGTCTCCTCCCCAGCACCCCCGACGCCACCAGACCCACCGCTATGCCGACACGGCAGCTAAGCTCCTCCTTCCCTCCTCTCTCCCTGTTATGCTTGCGTAGAGCCCTCAGCATCAGGCGCGCGAGGTTGAGAATGGAGGAGCAAGAAGCTCTCGTCTCCTCCTTCATGGACCAGTCACTGTCGCAGGGCAGCCATCCAGCAACGATGTAGGCGTCCCCGACCGTGTCGATCTTGAAGAGTTTGTACTTCATCACCGCCTGATCGAAGCTGGAGAACAGTTTGTGCACCATCTGCGCGATCTCCATGGCTGAACTTCCCTGCGACATCCTTGTGAAGTTGCAGATGTCGAGCTGGAGGACAACGGCTCTCCTCATGGTGCAGGGAAGCTTCAGCGTGTTGCGGATCATCTGGTGAACGATGTTGGAGGGCACGAGGTCGTAGATCACTTCCTTCATCCTGGTCAGCTCCAGCTCGATGAACTCGTAGTACTGATAGCGAACCCTCTCGTTGTACACCAGGCACTTGGACTTCCAGATTGTGAGGATGAGAGACAAAGTGAGCGCGGCCAACGAGGTGAGCAGAATGAAGTCGTGGTCCCTCCTGTAGCTGGGAAGCAGCGCAGTCACCACAAACATCAGGGCGGCGACCGCGTCGGTCTTCTTGAATTCTGTCAGAACGACGTTAATGATAGAGTACTGGATGATGGAGTAAAAGCAGAGGAGCAGGCGAAACTGGACGCCGACCAAGACGTTCGAGACCGCGACGATGAGCTGCAGCGAGAAGATCGTGTGACCGAACTTGTGGCAGAACTGAAGCTCCGGCATCATGTAGAAGAGGACGAAGAGGAAGTAGTCGAGGATCAAAGCAATCTGCAGGTAGAGGGTGAAGTAGTGAATGGGCTGCAAGCTCTGCGCTGAGATGGCGTCCTCCACGGCGGCTAGGAAGGCGTATCCGTGGACAATCACTCCAACGGAGATGGACAGCCAGTGGTCACGCGCCTGATCAAGGAGGAACCTGACCTCAGTATCCGAGTCAGAGAAGTTTGTCCAGAAGGGAATCGTGTCGCTCGAGATCCCTCCCTGTCCTCCGCTGCTCCCAGTCTCCTCCGCCACCTCCTCAGCGGTGGATCCCAACCAGGTAGGCTTGATGTCATCCAGCTGGACCGTCTGCTCCTTGTTGAACATGACGCACTTCTCCGAGGGGTTCGGCACGCTCACCGTGCGCGTAAAGGTCCTCTTCATCTCCTTCCCTACGTTGCCGCTGCCTCGCGCGTTCACTTCGAACAGCTCCATAGCTCCCTTCCCCTTCACTGAGATGATTCCCTTGGCCTCGAACGCGAACGGCAGCCCCTTGCAGCCCCCGGCGATCTTGGCGAACGAGCACGTGCACAGGATCTGGTTCGCTGCCGCGTACTTGCACATGCGCGCTGCCGTGTTGGTCGTGTCGCCGTAGACACAGTAGAAGGCTCTGTGGGAACCGACCACAGCCCCAGCTGCAGGCCCACAGTGCATCCCGATCTTGAGGTTGAGCTTTGTTCCTTGGATATCATGCTTCTTGGCGATGCCGATGAGGTCAGCGGCGAGGTGGACCATGCTCCGGACGTGACTCCTCGGGTAGGGCTCCGCCTGAAGCTTCTGGTCGAAGGGCCTCGCTGCCCGAGGGCACATGATGATGTACCAGTCGCCGACGTTCTGATACTTGTACATGCCGTGATGGTCGACTGCGTCGTCGAACTTCTCGAAGACCTGGTCGAGGATCTCGAAGATCTCAGCAGAGGTCTTGGACTTGAGGAGGTGCTGGGGGCCGAGAGAGCAGAACATGACGATGCAGAAGGGGATGTTCGCACCCAGGAATTCTCCAGCATTGCCATGATGCACCAGCTTCGTCATCACATTCTCTGGTATCAGCGAGTGGACTAGCTTGCGGCTCTCGTCTGCGATCCGCAACGTCTGCTTAGCTTCCAAGTACATGTCTCGCTCCTTCATCAGCCGGAGGAAACAGATAAGTGCTCCAAAACATCCGGCGATCATCTGCACAAACTGTGTGAACAGCTTCACTCTGTACATGTCCTTGTAGAAGAATGTCATGGCGGATGCAGCTAAGATGGCAACGAGGCATAAGGAGCGCGGGAGAGAATGCAGCGGCATGTCAACAGCTAAGCCAACAGTCGACGATCGATTTCTCAGAAGAAGTCAAATACTTCCAGACAGCCTCGATGTATACTCCCAGTGCTCCATGGCACAGACCTGAAACATCTCGTCATGTCAGCAAATACCAACTACTAATGAATCTACAACATGAACATTGTATCAGCTCAACATCAGCAACGTGCATTCAGTAACAACAGGAATGAAAGGTCATCAATGCATCTTCTCGCAACATCTTTGCTATCGTGATTTTTATATTTCAATCCAGATATTCATCTACTCCGTCGAAGCAATCAACTTCATTTCATTCCTCACACAACCATCCTTCCATACTACCCACGTCCGAGTGAAAAACTCCTAGTTTCACTTCGTCTACTCGACTCCACCAAAATTCTTCTCCTATCGCGATCAACCAACATAGATTCTCTCTTCTCCTATCGCGATCAACCAACATAGATTCTCTCTTTTCCTATCGCTATCAACCAACATTGATTCTCTCTTCTCCTATTGCTATCAACCAACATTGATTCTCTCGTCCAAACGATTCTGTCCGATTCTTCGTCTTCTTGCCTGACTACCTGTTGGTTTGCCGTCCGTCCCTTCATCTTTCTCAACTCAGCGACTGTTCGAGTTGACTCTTTCCTTCGCAACTTCCCTCCATCTTTCTTGGCATCTCTATTCCTGGTGGTCTCATGTTGACATTCCCAACATAATTTCACTCATCCTCTCCTCCCCTCCTCCCCTCCTCCTCTCCTCCTCTCCTCCTCTTCCCTCTCACTGCTCTCCTCCACGCTTCTTCCGACCATCTGCATTCTTCGTTTCTCCTCAAATCCAGGTACCCCATCACCCACCTAGATCCCACCCCCTCCCCGTCTGACCACCCCTATAGTTCTCTCAAATTCACCCTACCTTTTCTGATGTGGGGGCGGCGTCAAGAATTGGGACCCTACCCTTGTACCACCCTCACCCGGTCGCTTGACCTTGATCGTGTGTCCGGAATTCCGAAAAAGAGGGTGAAGTTCCATAGAAAATTTCAAATATTCAATGAAAGTTTCAAAACTTAGTGAGAAAGTTATCTAAAATATTCAAGTCTTCCGGTTCCAAATGCGTTTCCGAATTGAAATCAATCACAGGATATGATGGAGGGTGGGGTAGGTAGCCTTAAAGTGATTGGACGGGTCCGTTCCCCAGGAGAACTTCAACCTTATTTATGACCAGGGGGTAGTCCATGGAATCTCCCACACCAGAAGGGGGTTGTACTATCTTGAGTACTTCATTGAACTGGTAGAGAAAGGGTGGGGTAGTCAAAAGTATTTTTGCACTCTTCAAAATGTTCAAGTACCCCTGATTTTGAGGGAAATGTGGGGGTAGGGTCAGGAGGAAAACTGTGATGGAGTCACGATCCGCCTGACAAATAAAAATACTTATATTAATAAAATAGTTTTAGAGGAGGCGGTTGCCGGTCAATTCCCTGTGTGATGATTGTAACGGATCGTAACTGCAGAATGGCTTTCAATGCCATCGGCCGCGGCGCGGGCCAACCATCCATTCGTTCACCTATTCTGCTTCCAATTTCCAGCTACTACCGTACAGACTCAGTAGTACTACTACGGTACGGTACAGAGGCTCAGAAAACAACGGTCACTAGCACTATGACTGTATTCATATCTTTACTCAATTCATCATAGTATCCGATCAGTCACTAGCACTATGCCGTGACTGTATTCACATCAGTCACCAGCACTCACTGCCGATGACTGTTTTCATCAACATCAGTCACCAGAACTATGACTGTATTCATCATCAGTCACAGGCTAGCGCTATGACTGTAAGCCTCTAAGGCACAACAGATCGCAGCGCTGGCTGTTCCTCGTCCGCCGTGCTGCCGGCAGGCCCCTGCTCCATGTCATCCTTATCGTCGGACTTGTCGGCTTGCGGTGAAACCCTCTGCGTCCTCTTGAGCCTCCAGAAGACCCTCCGCCTGAACACCCACAGCAAGAAGAGCAGGACGACACCGAGGACAGCCCCAAGCACGATCAAGACAAGAGCCATGGGCTGATCGAGCAGGGAGAGGCCGGTCAGGCTGCACTGCAGAGATGTGGCGTTAGGAAGAGAGTAGAGGGAGAGGACGGGGTTGATGGTGACTAGGTCACATCTCCTCAGCGTTGTCGTAGTGTCGTTGCTCTCGACCTGTAGCTTGATCACCAGGGAAGAGTCCAGCTGAGCGTTGCCGGAGCCTGACCCGGCAGATGACGCGTTGCCAACGAGCTGGACGGGCAGTCGGAGAGTCACAGCTAGCACGTAACGCAGCTCCTCCTTCTCCTCGTTGAAGGTTGACTGAGACATCGGGAGCGTCAGGGTGACGTCAATGTTGGGCTTCGAGACTTGAGACGGAGGAACAGAGAGTAGTGGCGATGGGAGGTACGGGACGACTTTCTCCTGCGGCAAAGGAGCTACTTGCTGTTTGACAGCCATCGCTGAGTACATGGAGAAGTGAGTGGTGTACGCGAAGACAGTACCTCCCACTTGCCAGCTTCCATCGAGACACTCCCATGTCGGCAAACTTGCTGTAGCCTTGCTGAAGCAGATTGACACTTTTTTTCCTGTGGGCACGAGGGAGGAGTTGAGCGAGAGAGCCATCTTGACAGGAGCCTTGAAAGTCAGCCCCTCCGGCTGAAAGACAGCCACCGGCCCGACTGGAACTGCCTCCTCCCCCTGTGCAACCTTGACAAGCACGTCAAACACGTCCATTGAGATGAAGGCATCAGCATCGAGAGCGCCTGGAGGGACCTCGACGCCAGTGCCAAGCTGTGACTGCACGACTGTCTTGACCCCAGCTGTAGCCCGCACAGGGGCAGCTGAGAGACTGGCGTCCTTGATGGCGATTTGACTGCAGTCAAATCCGAAATGGTCCACGAGGCAGAGGCACTGGGAGCCTGAGATGACACCGTAACATTTATATTGACATGCAGAGCCGAAGAGCTGAGAAACCGAGCACGATGGGGCAACTGGGGGGGTCACGAAGAGGACTGCAGCCTTTCCCGCCAGCTGCAACCTGGAGATTGAAGGAATCTTTGAGCAGCCCGAGCAGCTCACGGTCACGTTGTCAAGAGTTTGCGGCGGGTTGTCGATCATCATCTCGAATGCCAACAGCACGTTGGGCAGGAGGATGTCACTTGACAGGGTCAGCAGCAGCTGGCCAGCGACTGGCTGCCATGGAGCTGGGCTGACGAGGTTCTGCCCGGAGATCTGAACCTCAGCGAGGTTTGACGAGCTGGTAAGACCCGTCAAGGTGACGCGCGAGAGGTTTTGGAGCTCGACGTTGCAGGCGATGATGACCCGCACTCTGTTCCTCGCGTTGGGGATCTGGTGTTCTCCTCTCAGCTCCAGGTGGGTGAAGGCAGCGACGACGTTGAGAAGACACGATGACGGCTGTCCAGTGCACGTCCATATCGACCCTTCCACCTTGCACTCACGGCTACAACCGTCCCCGTCCTCCGCGTTCCCGTCGTCGCACTCCTCGCCGCTATCCAGCCGACCGTCGCCACACTTTCCGACAGGGAGAGGGGTTGAGGCAGGAGGAAGTGTAGAGCTTGTGGGGATAGAGAAAGGAGCTGAGGTTTCGATGAATGGAGATGACGTTGAAGGAGTGGAAGAGAGTGTTGCTGTTGTTGTCGATGTGAATTTTGTTGTTGTTGTTGTTGTTGTGGTGGTGGTGGTGGTGGTGGTGGTGTAATTGAGCTCTGCGTCTGCAAGGCAATCAAGAGAAGCTGACATTGATTCAAATCTCCCATCACTCACCTACTGACATTATGAGGCCGACCAGGAGCAACGACAGGAGGGAAACGAATCCTCTCGAAGACCAACTCATCATGCCGTAGATCCCTTGCTCTCCTTACGCTCGTGACTGTATCGCTCATGGAGCTATTGTTCCATGTCCTGTGATGTGGACATTGGTTAAATCAAACTGCACTACATGACATATGGAGAGACAGAGGAATAGTTTTCGTGCTGTTTCCTCTGTTATTTCTTCCTTGTTTCATCTTTTCACATCCTCATCCCCGTCCCTGTAACCTGTCTAGACTGGTTTCCGCGTGAGTTTACGAATGAATTTCTCGACATGGCCGCCTGTTGTTCTTGTGTTATATGTTCGTTCCTTGATCCTACTCCTACTCCTGCTACTCCTAGTCGTGCTGCTTCTCCTTCTCCTGCTACATCTGCTGCTGCTGCTTTCGCTTCCTGCTTCTCCCTCTCCCTCTCCTGCTCTTGCTCGCCATGCTTGCTGCTTGTGTTCGCCATGGCCAACTGACCACTCCCACCCCACCCTTTCTTTGGGCGAATTCTTCCAATCAGGTTTCTTGTCGTTACCCCTACGTTCGATATGGATTGCAAGGTCAAAGATAGGGTAGGGTAGTCACTAAGGTAAGTAACGGTGGGGTGTTTTCTAAACAGGTCAATCCAGCTTTCACATTTGACTAGCCAGCGTGAAGGGAGGGAGGGGGAGACGAAGGAGGGGAGAGGAAGGGAGGGAGGGAGGGAGGGAGGGAGGGAGGGAGGGAGGGAGGGAGGGAGGGAGGGAGGGAGGGAGGGAGGAGGAGGAGGAGGAGAGAGAGAGAGAGAGAGAGAGAGAGAGAGAGAGAGAGAGAGAGAGAGTAAGCGAGACCGCCGAACAGGCTCATCTGCCCCGACATGGACATCTCCGGTTCCTCCCATCGTCTGAGAAGGTGGATGAAGATGTTCTTCGGGGTACCTCTTGTACAGGGATCTGAAAGATGAAGAACAAGTTGGGAAGACTAAGGTAGTCTGGATGATGATGGGG